TCTCTCTCTCTCTCTCTCTCTCTCTCTCTCTCTCTCTCTCTCTCTCTCTCTCTCTCTCTCTCTCTCTCTCTCTCTCTCTCTCTCTCCTATCCTCTCTCTCTACTCTTCTTAGCGCTGAAATGCAGCGGTGGTCCAGCGGCATGTCGCTCAAGGAGGGAGCACCTCCCACCGTCCTCAGCCCAGCCTCAACCCAGCTATAAGTAGTGTTGGGCCTGCCGGGCGTGCTCAGGTACTGGCCTCAAAACGGCCTACTTGGTCTGGGCCCCTACCGGGTATCCAGACAGCGCTGCTGATGCAGCAAGGCCCCAAAACGCGCCTGGCTTCAAAAAGGCCTCGTCCCCGTGTACCTGGCCCAAGGCGTCGCCTTGGGGCCTGTCAGTCCGAAACGACATCTGCACAAACAAAAATAAGACAGCACGTAAGTAAGTAAATAAATAAATAATCGAGTGTTGCCTCAGGCTGCGCCTGCGGCCCAAAAGGCCGCCGTGGACCTCCAGGGCGTGTGCTGGATGGTATGCGGCCTAGGGTCCCTCAGCAACCAGCGGGCCCCGCAAATGGAGTCTGTGTGCAGGTGCAATATGTAACGCCGCCCCCTCCTTATGACGTCAAGCCGGGTTGAGGGCGAAGCTGACGATCTGAAGGTGGAACCTGGATGCGGGTGCGACGTGGAGCTGAAGATGCCGGCTTGCCTTGCAACTCGTGTTTGTAGCGCTTGAAAACATCCGGAGTTGTTGCTTGCAGTTCCGCACGGGTCAACCAACGGTCAGCTTTATGGGTGCAGTACACAAAATATACCAAGTATTTGGTCGGCCTGTTGCCATAGCATCGCTGGGAGATGATGTCGCCAACCTCTTGAAAACAGTACATAGAGGGTGGGTCTTGCGGTCGTCACCCAGGAGAGTCATCATGTTCCGCTGGCATGTAAAGAGCTAACTTGGAGTAGTGAAAGACCGGGTACACGGACAAGTGGGTTGGCACATGAATGACAAATGAAGGTCCTTCGGATGCGTCCCTAGCAGGTGCCACGATCGGCCAGGGCCCCATCCATTTCAGTAGGAGCTTGCGAGAGATATCTTGCTCGAGGCTGAATTCTGCGGCGGAAACCCATACAAGGTCGTCGACGCGGAATGGACTGGGAAGATGCTGGCGATTGGCTTGTTGGCTCATGCGTTGCTGCATCTTTGCCATCTGGTCGTCACTCACCACCACCCATGGGATGATTTTGTCCAACGGAGAGGTGACCGGTGAGTCGTGCTCGAACTCAAAGGGAGACATCCTGATAGTCGGATGGATGGACGAGTTGTATGCCACCTTGACATTCGGCAGCTGCTCAACCCAATCCTTTTGGTCGGGACAGATGAGAGTGCGAAGGAGAACCTGTGCGGTCTGATGCACCCTCTCCGTTTGGCCATCGGTTTGGGGGTGGTGAGCTGAACTTGGCTTGAGAGATGAGCCCCATCGTTTGATGAGCGCCAACCAAAAATCGGGCATGAACCGATTGTGGCAGTTACAAACGATTTCCTTTGGGTAACCCTTGGTTCGAATCCAACCAGTGTAAAGGACCTCGGCCAACTCCGGTGCCTTGGCATGATAGCGGCAAGGCAAAAACATGGCGAACTTGGTGAGTCGTGCAATGATCCAGACGTTGTGAAAGAGCATCCTCAAAACAGTTTGAATTCCCCGGGATGTGATCGGGAAAGAAATCAAACTGGTTGATGAAAGTCATCCAACGGACGACGTTGCTATTGACCGTGTCTTAGGTCTTGTAAAAGACCAACGGATTGTTGTCCGTTACCCATCGGAATTGACTTCGACCAAGGGGGGAAGTGCCACCACCGCTTGAGCGCGTGGACGAAGGCTAGGAGCTCCTTCTTTCGTGCATCATCGATTGAGTGCATGACGAACACTTTTTTGCTGAAGTACTCGACCGGGTGTCAATCCATGCCATCGTGTTGTTCAAGGACGGCAGCAATGCCATAGTCGAACGCATCAGTAGTGACGCGCATTGGCAATAGGGGGTCGTAGATGCACAAGACCTTCGCGGATAATAACGCGGCTTTGAGAGCCAAAAACGCCCCCCCGCACATCCTCACCGAAGTCGAACGGCCGATCCTCGCATTGAAGCTTGGTTAAGTGGGCCGTGATCTTCGAGTATCCCTTGATAAAACGTTGGTAGGAGCCGACAAGGCCAAGAAACGAACGGGCATCCGTGACGTTCTGCGGCGCCAACTACTCTTGGATGGCTTGAATCTTGTCCGACAACGGGCTGATGCCCTCTGATGTGACAAAATGACCCAAGTATTCCAGCTCTTGCCGGACAAATTCGCACTTGTCGCGGTTGGCTTTGTACTTGGCGCGGCGGAGACTCGTTGGTGCTCAAGATGATCCTCCAAGGTTCGGCTATAGGCGAGGATGTCGTCTAATTAGACCAGCACGAACCGGTCCAACATCGCACTGAACTCGTTGGTCATTGCTGCTTGAAAGGTCGCAGATCTAATTAGACCAGCACGAACCGTCCAACATCGCACGAACCTTTGTGCTTGAATCTTGTCGAAGGTGCCCAAGATGATCCTCCAAGGTTCGGCTATAGACGAGGATGTCGTCTAATTAGACCAACACGAACCGGTTCAACATCACACGGAACTCGTTGGTCATTGTTGCTTGAAAGGTCGTCAGGGAATTGGTGAGGCCAAAAGGCATGACCACCCACTCAAAATGTCCATACCGCGTCTTGAATGCGGTTTTATAGCACTTATTCGGGTGTATCGAAATCTTATGATAGCCCAACTTCAAATCCAACTTGGAAAAGTACTTAGCGTCGCCCAATCGCTCAAGGAGATCGTCAATGCGAGGAAGAGGCCCCACATTCTTGACGGTTTACGCGTTTAGCTTGCGGTAATCGATGCACAATCGTAGATCCTTGGTCTTCTTCCGTACGAAGAGAACTGGCGCTCCATATGGGGAGCTACTAGGGCAGATTCAACCCTTGTCCAACAAGTCATCGAGTTGCGAGCGGAGGACCATAAGTTCCTCCTCGCTCATCCGATAGATGCAACCTTTTGACGGCACGACACCGACCTCAAGAATGATTTCATGAGAGATTGGCCGATCCGGCATCACACCGGTAGGTGACTCGAAGATGTCGACAAAATCGTAAAGCAACTGCACCACAAGGGTGTCCGAAGACAAGTCCGTGGTGAAGAGTCGGCTACCACGACGGTCCGTTGGAAACATAGGCCTATCTCGTCAGGCTGCTCGTAAGCACAAGTAGCTTGGAACAACTTGGTCGTCACAACTTGGCACCAGATCGAAGGGTGCGGAAGAGGATTAGTACACGGTACTTTGGCGCCGAAAACATCACGGACGGTAAGAGTCCGCCGATGGAAGTTGACCGTGTGATCCGCACTTGCAAGCCAAGGCATTCCCAAAACGATATCGAAGTTTGTGTCCAATATGTCAAACATCACCAGTTAGCATGCATGAGGTGCGAAATACACCGCTATGGCCTCAATGTAGCGGTCGACAAGTTGTTGCGTCCTTCCGTTTGCCAACTGGATCGTCGTCGGGTTTGTCTTCCTCCGAACTTGTGCGCCAAGGCCATCCCTTTCCATAAAGGCTTGGCTCGTGAAATTGGGAGTCGCGCCGCTATTCAGTGAAGCATTGTAGGACGCTCGCCCAACTTGGATGCAGGCATAGAGGAGCGGTGCGTTGTTGTCATCATACCGCTGCGTGCGAAACTCGTGGGCCACCTCGGTAACATACGCAAGGATGTCCCCCACCTCAGCTTCGTCATCCGTTGGTGAAGTTGGTGGTGCATAGAAAGATAGGTACGTACGAAGAGGGTGCATAGTGATGCGCATTGCGGTCCTGACAAGCGGCCCGTGGTAGGGAGAGAAAGCCATGCGAAATCCTCGGACGTGAGCGGGTCTAATACCTCTATGTTGAACTCGCGCGGAATCCCAAGACGAACCAGTTGAAGACGATAAGTCGCCACTGCCGATGGAGAAGATGTCGCACGCACATCTTGTCCTTGAACATGAGTACCCAACGTAGGAACGGGCCAGGCAGCATAGTCCTCAAAAGAATGTAAAAGAGGCGGACTATCGACTTTCGCATGTGCCTCGGAAGGAAGGGCGGTCGCCTACGTAGCAACCGGTTCCGAAGGCGCCAAGAGTGTTGTCGACTCACTCCCGACGGTGCTCAGTTTCCCGACTGTTTGCCCTTGTCTTTCAAAGGACAGGCCACTGTTTTGGGGAGATCGCTGTTGCACCACAAACAACAACGAAATCTCGTGCGTAGCTTGTATACGTGCTCCGAGCGACTGTAGTGGGTCCATGGGTCTTGAGCTGTTGCGTCGGGCCCGGGTTTTGACGTGGTGTTTGTCTTTGATTTGTCGCATCCTCCGACTCTGCCGGGGCGGCCACCATCCCAGGCGGCTGCGAAGGCGCCTAGAGTGTTGTCGACTCACTCCCGACGATGCTCAGTTTCCCGACTGTTTGCCCTTGTCTTTCAAAGGACAGGCCACTGCTTCGGGGAGATCGATGTTGCACCACAAACAACAGCGAAATCTCGTGGTAGCTTGTATATGTGCTCCGAGCGACCGTAGTGGGTCCATGGGTCTTGAGCTGTTGCGTCGGGCCCGGGTTTTTACGTGGTGTTTGTCTTCGATTTGTTGCGTCCTCCGCCTCTGCTAGGGCGGCCACCATCCCAGGCGGCTGCGAGTCTGTCCTCTTCATTGGAAGACACAACCTCGCTTGAAGGGTCAGTCGGTGTTGCCGCCACGACCACGGCCACCTTCGATCGACGTTGTTCTCTGCTCGTACCTGCCGCAGACGAACGGTTGAGGTTCTTGACCTCCGTGTTCGTGACAATAATCTGTACGGCCTTGTCGAAGAGCTCCGATGTTGTAGTGAGAGTCTCCTCAACGTGAGTCAATGCGTTGGATAGTGTCGGACACGACCTCGTAATGAAGTAGTGTTTGATGGTCGTAAAGCCCATCGGTACGTCCGACGTTGACGCCAAGCGTTGGAACTCGACAATCCAATCGCCGCTCGGCAGTGTGCCCGACGTTGATGCCAAGCGTTGGAACTCGACAATCCAATCGCCGCTCGACAGTGTGCCTTGTTCGAAGGTCAGCAATTTGTCCACTGCTTTGATTTCCGGCGGCTTTATTTGGAACCGCTTATGCCATGCCGCCTTCTGATCATGCCATCTGATCTTGGTATACAAGTCGGCAGCCACCACCCCGTACTTGGACAAGAGATTGTCCAACCATGCTTGGCACGTGCCCCCCGATCGGGAGTACAAATATGCATGTTTCATCTCTTTGCTAGTATGGTGGAGCTGTAACTTGAGCTCGAGCTTGCGGAACCACGGAATTGGGTCCGTCTTCGTCGAGTCACAAAAGATCTCCTGACCATCGAACTTCGGAGTCGTTTCGCGTAGTGATGTGCTCGAGTTAGCGATGGCAGTGTAGATCTGCTGCCCAAGTTGTTGAGTTGCGGTTTGTTGTAGCTTCGCGCTGTTCTTGAGTGCTTCGACGCCTTCCAATGCGTCAAGGCGATCAAAAGTGTTGGAGGAGCTGGCGACGGGGGTTGTGACAGGTCGTTGCTCCAGCTTATGTAAGCGGCTGCCGACTCGCTTGACCTCGTAGTCCAGGGAATGGATGTCCTCCTCTTGTGCAATGCACGTCGCCAGAAGTCCGTGAAGTGGGAGAGTAACAACGCGATCTTGAGTTCGTTGTCACACAATTTACCATTCTCAGCCTCAGACCGTCATTCCGTTGCCATGTTGAGTAAGGCGTGCTCTCCTCTGAATATCTTCTCACGCCGCATGTTGCGTTCCTCGTTGACAGCCTTTGTTGCTTCCTCATCGTGCTGGCAATTATGTTCGATTGCCAGCAGAAGTGCTTTCTCTACATCCTCAACCTTCTTCTTCTTTACGGCTGCTACCGCATCCGATCGTTGTTTGCCCTCGTTGATCAAGGTTTGCATTCGGGCCTGATAGGTCTCGGCCATTTCCCCCGGCTTCTGGTCCATGACGGCTGTTTGAGAGCGCGTGAGCATAGACCAGGCTAGAGGACTGCTGACGTGGCACTCCCTGGTGCCGATGTGCCATTGCTCGGCTGCTGACGTGGCACGGTTGTTGGCTGACGTGTCGATGACGTGTCACTGCTGACGTGTTACTACTGATGTGGACTGCTGACGTGGTCTGCTGACGTGGCAACTCACCAATGCCACAATAGGGGTACCCGAAGACAGATGGAGAAGAGAAGACCGAAGGGGGCAACAACATGGGTGGGGAGAGGTGGGTGGGACTGATCACCCAGATAAGGAGCCACTAATCGAAAAAAAGAAAAGTTTTGAATTTTGCAAAAAAAATTGAGAAATTAATAACCAATAAAAACTCGATTTTGCAACCTCGGTAGGTCTCCCAATCCCCATCAAAATGAAATTTCTGACTACAAACGAATAATAATAAATAATAAATAATGGAACTGCGAAAAATTATCCATAAGTTCCGAGGATTCCGAAAAAAATCTCGGAATCAATCAGGTGAGAGTGTGCGCAGAAAAGATAAACTCCAACGAGAGATTTTCCATAAAAAAATAATTTCAGAATCTCGAAATAACGAAAAACAACGAAGTTCGAATTTTTCGTTACCGTTAAAAATGCATAAAAACAAAAAATCAACGCAAATAGATTCAAAATCTAGGCTACCAGCCGGGCCGCCCGGGTCCCGGGTGGCCAGCGCGTGCAAGGACCAGGGAAGGTCCTAGCAAAAAAAAAACAATTCCAAAAAATTCGAAAACAAACTATGTTATGCAGAAAACTAAAATGAACAACTTTTGCCTCAGCGTCACATCGAAATTCCTTACCAAATTTAAAATAAAAAATAAAATTCAAAAATATTTTTTTATTTTTTTAATTTATTTTGGCCCGGCCGGGCAAGTGATCCCGGGCCACTCTGGTAGCCTAGTTCAAAATAAAAATTCAGAATTTTCAATTTTCGGAATAACGGGAAATAGCGACAAGAAAAGCAAATTGAAATTCCCATGATGTATGAATCCAAAAAAATCATGAATCCACGCAATATCCCGAAAGGAAATATTTCGGATTCTATCCAGCAACGAATTTTTGAAAGTTAAAAAAATGAAAATCAGAAAATTCAGTAGCTGCACTATTTCGGGATTTGCGATTTTCAACAAAAACGAAATTGAGCTGAAGAAAAAAAATCCGAAAAGAAAAAGAAAAATGATTTGGCAGTTAGGTCAAAAATTTGCGATCTAGGGGAATAATGAGTATGACCTAATCAATCAATCATTCAATCAATCAATCAATCAATCGGTCCCCGCACACGTGTCAGATCAGGTTGTCCTGATTCACATGCAGGCTCCGATACCAACTGATACATGCCCAGTTGGCCAATGTGCGAGGCCAGGGCCTCGATAAGCCCTACTGGGCCCCTATTTGTAACAGCGTCGGCCGCCCTAAGTGAAGGCAGGCTCGACAGACCCCAAGAGGCCTATTCTGGACTACCTCGCAACTGGGGAAAATTCAGGCAGTTGCCCAGCGCCAGTTGATTGGACACACCCAGGCCCTGGACTTCTTTATCAAATACATCTGAGTCTGTCCCTGAGCGAGATTCGCAGCATGGACCCAACTCAGGCTGCGGGCAGTTGGGCACTAGTAACCACCACAGGCCCTGGGCTTGTTTCCCTTGGAGGGAGGCCCAGCCTCGTCGGGCCTACCGGAAGCTTCTGGGCCAGGGCCCAGTACCTCACGACTGCACGCAGCAGCAGGCCACTTCGATATAGGGAAGGGCCTGCCTCCGCATTGGATATTCGGGCACTAGCTGCATGCTGCGCTAACGCTGGTCAGGCTCACGCGCTCACGGGGGAGCTGGAAGGAGCAGGCAGCCATAGCCGAGCTGCACTGCTGTATGCTAGATGGGCCGCATGGTGGTCCTTGGGTGCAAGTGGCATCTGTGAGTTGGGGAACGAGGTTGTGAGTGATACGAAAGACATACCTGGTGCTTGACGAGTGCGGCATTGGCCGAGGTCTGCTCGTACTTGGGAAGCTGTTGACGTCATCAGCGAATATCTGGTCTCATGTGTATGACGCTGTTTGATTGCTGAAGTTCGCTATTGCTCATCTTCCTTGCAATTTGGTATCGGAGTTGTGGTTCGGTGCGCCAATCTGGCGCTTATCTTTTGCCTAATGCGGTACATGCACGCGGTGTGTACGGTGAGCGACCGTGCCGTGGGACGTGTGTAGTGAGGAGGGCGAAGATAAGTGGCGACCCAGGAGGTGAGGGGTATCACCAAGAAGGCTGTGTGGTGATTATTGGGTGTTCGCAGTGTGATGAGAACTATCCGGTGTGTGATTGATGTTGAGGTGGAACGGTTGTGCAATGCTGGTTGTGCCGAAGCAGCGACTGGTCATCACAATCAACATCGGGTCATCAGGTGAGAATATATGTGGTTGGGGGCAGCTATTTTGAGGTACGTTGGACCTAACCTTATCTACCCTCTTTGACACTTCTTATCGTGAGGATGTGTTCTGTCTTGAGAGTCCTCTCACGTGAGGAGTCGTGTGCGCTCAACCTTGAGAGTCGTCAGCCTTCACGTGGAGCATCTGGAAGGAGAGGGCGGAGCTATCTGAAGGGCCCTGGACAAAGCACTGGGTCACGGTCACCATGCCAACCCACCGGGAGTAGTGCACGCATGCTTTGCTGATTTGTCCTTTGTCTGCTCGCTGCGCTGTAGAGGGGTTTTGAAGGGCAGGCCAGCCCTATGGGACAGACGAGACCGGGCATCTATAAATAAGCACCGGTGGGATACCTTCCATTGGCTGTGATCATCGTCCTGTTTGCGACGTTAAAGAATTCCTGAGGACTTCGGGGGCCGTCCATAAAAACGCCTCATGATCAACCAATCGGTGGGTGTAAGGCTCGATGCACGCGAGGATAAATACGGTGCAGAGTTGGCTAGCTCAGCAGGACTCGGGGCACAGGGGTGGGCCGTGTGCACACCTTCCGACACGCACGCTATGTGGATCGCTCAGGGACGTTGACGGCAAGAGACATTCAAGAAGAACTGAGGGAGGGGTAGATTCCAGGTGATAAGTTCAGGAAAGATCCCATTCTGCAAACAGACCCAACAAACGATTCTATTTTTATTTTGGTTAGTTAGATGGACAGCCATTAACATCTGACAAACAACATTAGTTAGAACTGTTTTCTGTTCCTTGTGCTTCTGTTTGCATACTAGTCAAAGTAAAATACTTTTTGTTTGTAGGAATCTGAACTTGTCTATTGGACCCGAATGTATAGTCTCTGACATAGCCGTCGATTATTTAAATCGGTCTGTACATGTCGCTGCGGTAGGCATCGGTTGTGTGTCCTAGTGCAAACGGTGTGCAGTTCTGTAGCATATGAGCGATAGGGACACCACTAGTGAGGACAACCGGATCTTGGGATCGGCTAGACGCCCGATAGCCCACTTGGCCTTACAACCAGAGGGTGACATATTTCTGTTTCGCCAGCTTAGGGAGAGGCAGCAACAACAGAGGAGAGCTAGGGCAGCAGAGGCCAGCAGGGCGTTCGCAAGCGAAGCCGCTGTTTCAGCAGCCATGGCAACTGCTGCGCAGCAGAGTTCCCAAGCCGGTAGTTCAGAGTCTGTAGGGTCAACGGTTGCACAAACTCTGAGTCAGTCCACTGGCGTTATGGCGAGCCAGCCGTTAGTGATGACTCTCGAGGAGGTCGCCATACAGCGAGCTGCTGATCGCGAGGCACAACTACATAAAGCTTTAGGAGAGATTAAGGCAAAAAAAGAAAGAATGATTAGAAGAAGAGTCAGGTTGCAGCAGCGACAAGCGAACATTAGTGAGTTAGAGGAGATGGACCCAAAGGAGTTGGATGATCAAGTGAGGACCCTAAGATCGGTCTTGTTAGGGGTAGTAGAGATGCAAGACCGTCAGACGGCGATCTTACAGGACATCCAGCAGAGTCTGGCTGCCTTGGTCGGGCGAGTGTAGGCGGCACCATCACTGTCCGCGCCTGGTGTCTGGCCCGTTGTACATCCTCCTCCTTTTTTCCCACCGATGACTGGGGAATCCCCATATACCACTCCAGCATCGGTTCAGCCTGTCTCCCTGGGTATGCCTTTAACAGGCGGGTTCTCAGCAGGTCCTAGTTTGCAAGCTCCTGTATAGACAGTGTTTTCCCAACCTCCGTCTCAAGTTGTCGTAAGTGGGCAGCCTGTTGTCTCGCAGCCTGCACAGCTGCAGGGTTCACAGCCCCAGCAGATAGTGCAGCAGCCTGTACCACAGGGTCCACGGCCCGGGATGATGCAGGTACCGGGTCAAAGTCAGTGGGTACCAAAGATGGCCATCGCCGCTCCTAAACCCTTTACAGGGGATGAGAGGGGCGAAGACCTCGACACTTGGTTGAAGGCAGTGCCAGTCTATCTCAAGTGCAAACTTACCTTGTCGCACGAGGAAGTGTTTGTGGCTGCCTCCTATCTAGAGGGGAGTGCATCATGATGGTTGAGTGGTTTAGTGCCGCTACAGGGGTACGGTCATGACTTTCGCGCTTGGGCGGTCACCCAGAAATTGGATGACTTCCTCAAGTTGGTGGAAGACAGGTGGCATGATCCTCAGAAAGCCCAAAAGGCTACTGATGCGATCCTGACACTACATACTCGGCAGTTTACGTCAGTAAGGGAGGCCACTGACGTTGTAGAGTGTCTGATCAGTGTCCCTGGGGTGCGCTATGACCCCCAGGTCCTACTCACCTCCTACCTGAGATGCTTTCCCATGCCTCTCAGGAATCAGTTGACAAGTGAGGCCAACATCAATATGCACAACTTTCCCTAGTTTAGCAAGAAGGCCCTAGACCTTGAGGCAAAGATAAGGTATGGGCAAACACCCACGATGGATGGTAGGAGAAAGTCACTGCGAGGGCGAAGCTGTCTGTCTGAGGGAGGGACCACAGTCCGGGTGGGAGGGGCAGGTTTGCGAAGCTTCCTTAGCTGGTCTTCGTCGCTCGTAGCCGTCGTAGATCAGCGGTGCCGATGCTTGCAAATCTGCGAACTTGGTGTCCAAAATGTCGAAGGACACGGCCTCGGGTACATGCGGGCGAAGTACACGAAGACGGGGTCAAATGCACCGGTCGATTGACTTGTGCGTGTGACCGTCGGCCAACGTGACTTGCGTGGGCTGCGACTTCCTCCGAACGCGTGGCCCCAAGCCATTGCACACCGGAAATCTGTGGCCCATATAGTTGCGAGTGCTTCCGCAATCGATCAAAGCGCTGCAGGTTGCCTCTCCGATCTGAATGCATACATATAGCAATGGTGCGTCGATGTCGTCGTACCGTTGCGTCTTGAACTCGCGGTCGATCTTCGCACTGTAGGCGTGAAGGTCGACAACCTCTACTCCGGCGTCCATCAACGGAGTCGGTACTGCAGTGTGCAAGTAATCCCGCAGTTGTGCCATGAGCACGTTGCAATGCGATTTCGGCAATCGTCTGGTCAAGGGAACGGGCATCCACTGGAAGTCCGTGAACGTCAACGGGTCGAGCTCATCAAGTCTTGACCATGACGTCGGATCCCAGGCGATAGATTGCGGCGAAGGTGCCGAATCGGTTGCCGATGGTGATGAAACCATGCATGCGGTGGACTGTTGCACGTGGAGCGGCTGGTCCAGCGGTGGAACCAAGTAGACAGCATAGTCCTCGTAAGAGTAACGAGAACTTGCGACATTCGCGTCCTCCCCAGATGTGCAGGAGGCTGTTAGCAAGGCGGCCGAATCTGGCGGAGTGGAAGGTGGAGTCGCCTCACCTTCCGCGGAGCTCAGTTTCCCGAGCTGAGGCGGGGTCGCACATCCTTCTTGCCCTGATCCTGGCACAAGGAGGTCTTGTGCTTGGTGCTGTTGCACCAATAGCAGCTACCATAGCGGCCGCGGACTTTGTACTCCGCCTCGGTCAAGCCGAACTTGACCCATGGAACTTGTACTGGCTGTCCATTTCCGACCTGCGATGCGGATTTCGCCTTCCCATTGTTGCGGGACTTGTTGTTGCTTCGCGGCTGGACARCAGCCACYTGATCTCCGTCACTYGATGCTGGAGTGGCTGCTGGGTTATCTCCACTGTCCTGCTGGACTGCAGCGAAGTGCTGCTGTCGCGGACCACTTCGTGCCTTCTCCACATAGGTCGGCTGCCATGTTGATTTCTCGTGTGCAGCTGACCTGTTGGTCTTGATGATCTCTCTCGCCTTGTTGATGATCTCTGCGAAAGTGTGGTACTGCTCGCGATCACCAAGTGCGAGGCTCAGAGCGGCGCATGACCTGTTGTAGAACTCACGGCGCAGATGCGGAAATGGCAAGTCCAGATCGGGCGTGGCCACGATCTTCTGCCAATCCGTGAGCCAGTCACGTGTCGGTGTGCTCCCTTGAGCCATCGCGAAGATGCGGTTGATGGCGAGCGCGGGTGCGTCATCCACTATGAACCGCTTCTTCCATTCATTTGCCATATCCTCCCAGGTGACCTTCTTATGCAGGTCTGAAACCTGGACGCCGTGGATGGTTGCCATGTGGCTGAGCCAGATCTGACATCCTCCCTTGGTGTTGATGAATAGAGCACTGATGAACAGATGGTTAGGGACCTCGTGGATCCCCAACTCCGTTGTAAATCCTTGCCACCAGACGACCGGGTCTTGATGTGTGTAGTCGTCAAATTTCTCGATCCGGAACGTCGGCATCTTGTATGGCCTTGCCGAGCTGTTGTTGTGGCTGTGGTCGGTCGGCTGTTGCTGACTGATCTTAGTGTCCAGCAACTCGAACCGCTGGCTGATGGTGGCCGACTCTGTGAAGGCACTTATGTCTCCTMGCATTKCCACTACGTGGTCAACGCGTTCCTCCAGTTGGCGGCTAGAGGATGCACTGCTGGAAGCCCCAGCATCTGGTCCTGGGACAGCCTGTTCCAGGTCCAGTACACGGGCATCCAGTGCCCGTGTGGCATCCTCGTGCTGAGTCTTATGGTTCCGCATGGCCCGCTGGAGGTTCACCAGCTCGAACTGTAGGTGGTTACAAGTATAAACCAACCTGGTCACGAGCTTGGCC